GTAATAAAGAATTTTAATTTAAATGTTGGTAGGGCCACGCAGAAGCCTCGGTTGTTACACGAATGCGCAGGCCCGTCCGGGTAAGTACCACGACCTCACAGAAGACCAGCGTAAAGTGGAAGTATGACAAATACTTTCGCGTTTCGTCTGGTGAGTGAGGTAGCCGCAGCCCAATTTTCAAAAGGTTGTCAACGCATCTGTAACCCTCGGGTATGGCAGATGTCCATGGGCGGCGGTATTCACTTAACATCAAGTGAACCGTCTGCTCGTTTGACAACTTTTCGCATAAAAAAAGCATTTTAATTACAGTCACAAGCCACAAGACCTACAAAACCCCTTTAAATGTCTACACTGGTTGCTGTTTCTCCCTTACCTGCGGTTTATGGGCATCATGACTTTAGTCCAATAAGCTCTTTTTACAAAGCTTAGCCTTTAAAAACCTAAAAAAAACCAGTTTTTTTCTAAAGTAATCGGTATAAAACCGGTGTGTAAAATTGTCATCGGTTCACATCTCTGATTCAGTGGGGCCACCTGGTGACACTTTATATTAGAAGTCAGTGTTACCAACTGTTGAAAAAAAAAACTCCTTAAGAAATTCAAAAACCTACTAAAATACACTGTTTTCAAAAAAAAACTTCGTAAATGAAAAAAATCACCATTTTTTTAAATTATCTAACAAGGTAGAATAATTATTGGAAAAAACTAACTATCTGAGTTATCAAAATTGTTTTATTTAAAAGTTAAAATTAATAAACTTGAGCTTTCATTGACTTGAAACATATTTATAAAAATTAAATACATTTGATTGTAAAGTTATAATCATTTTCATTATTTTTGAGAATCAGACAATAAACAATGGGAAAAGGCATCATTCAATCATAAAAGATCTGAATTAAACATGTCTCATTCATTATCTTTTCTTACTTAGCTGCATATTTTTGAACATATCTGGCAAGAGTTTATGGCGGAATAATTTTAAATAGTACATAAGCCAATGCAGCCAACACTAGTCACTATTATATACAATGTACAATGCTGCCAATACTATTATATTATATTTCGTGTTTAAAATTGTGTAGTTTATTTTTCAAAACTGTGAATAAAATTTTCTTCTTAAAAATTTCTCCTTAAAAACTTCCATTGTAAATTTTTTCTTCCTAAATTTAGGAAGAAAACTCCTAAGTTGGCATGCGTGTTAGAAGTGGGTGAGCGATACAAACTTATACCGATACGAAAACTATACAGCGTGTCGTTACCACCGCGACAATAAATGAACACACATATAGAGGATAACTTTTTAAAATTGTATTAAACATTTACATTCTTCAAACATCAATATTTACAGAGTTATAATATTTTCCACAACAAACAATTTTAGAACACCCTTACGTATAAAACTGTAACGTAAAGTTCATTTGTAAAGGTCACAAAGCATATGAATGGGTTGAATAAATTTAAAAGAGACAAAACATACTGTTAGAAGGAGAGGCTTGTAATGCGACGCTGTGGCGCGAGTTGTATAGGCTGTTACAAATTTTGTTTCTTTTTTACTTAATTAGTTTGTTTGAAAAATATGTTTTTTTAAATATGGATTTTGTTTAACGTTAATATTTTCTTATGATTATTGGCAAGTAGCGTTAGACGTGTGTTCATTTATTGTCGCAATGGTAACGACACGCTGTATGTTGGTACAATATCTGAAAATCGCTTACTGGCTCGTTCGAAAGCTATGTATTTTACAATATCTCAGCTAGCAAAAAGACGTTGCGGCGAGCTGGATTCGACCGTATTCAACAAATCGGCACGAAAATCTGTGCCCAACCATCTGTCAGCAAAGGTTTTTGGTCTCTTGCCAAAGCTTTGGAATCCAACTTCTGTCGGCCATCACTGCCTCCGCTGGTAAAACCGGATGGATCACTGGCACATGCGGGCAAAGAGAAGGCCGATTTATTTGCCTCTCTATTTGCCCACAATTCACGTCTGGACCCTGGGAGCAATACACCACCCTCACTTCCTCATTGCGAAACCTCCATGTCGGAGGTTCGTATAAAAAACCGCGAGGTCTTAAGAGCCTTAAGGGGTCTAGACCTGAACAAAGCTTGTGGACCGGATGGTATACCGGCGTTTGTTCTGTGCTTGTGCACCCGAGTTGTCTCTTGTTCTGACACGACTGTTCCGCCTCTCATTTGAGACTGGAGTAGTCCCTAAGTCGAAGCTGGCGAATGTACAGCCCATTATAAAAAAGGGTAGCCGTGCCGATCCTGCCAATTACAGACCAATTTCAATTACCTCCATACTCTGTAAGACTATGGAGCGTATATTGAACGCCCGCCTCATGGCGTACCTAGAACAGAACGAACTTCTCAGCGACCGCCAGTATGGATGTCGCGGTGAAGCACTCGCGGTTTCTCTAGATTTCTCGAATGCCTTTGGCAGAGTCTGGCACGCCAGCCTCCTCAGCAAGCTTCCAGCGTACGGCATATCTCCTGGCCTAATCGGTTGGGTGAAGGACTTTCTCAGTGAGCGATCCCTCCGATTAGTCGTCGTAGGCTGTTCATCCAAGCCAGTGACGACAAATGCTGGAGTTCCTCAGGGGTCCGTCCTTTCCGCAACTCTTTTCTTGCTGCATATCAACGATCTGCTCATGCCCGGTGTCTATGGGTACGCGGACGACAGCACAGTTGTGGAGAGATACCAACAGAGTTTTCGGGGCAGTAGAGATCACATCCAGTCCGAAAGAGAGGTCATGGTTGAGCGTTTGAATCTTACATTGCAAACGGTGTCTGAATGGAGCGATGCCAATCTTGTGAGATTCAACGCCCTAAAACGCAGGCGTGTCTTTTTTCCGCAAAAAGGAGCCCTTTTAACTTGGCTCCTACTTTCAGTTGTTGGCAGTCGAAATAACCTCATACCTCAACTTTGGGTGGTTCATTGAGTCTAAAGCCAGGGTACTTCACTCCTTACTTCACGGTACTTCACGCCGGGACAGCTTCTTACTCTATACAAGGCTCAAATCCGATCGTGTGTGGAGTACTGTTGCCATATCTGGGCTGAGGCTGCAAAATGCCATCTGGCTGCCTTGGACTCAATGGAGAGGCGTGCGGAAAGGCTCATTGGTGACCATAACTTGGTTAAAACCAATCTCACTAGCCTTGAGCACAGGCGCAGAATAGCCAGCCTCTCAGTTTTCCACAGGATACATTTTGGAGAGTGTGCGTTGGAGTTGCATGATCTTATTCCTCCCGCCCCTTTCCATCCTCGGACAACCAGGCGTACGGCGGGGTTCCACCCTTATGCTGTCGACGTTCCACGTACACGAACCAAGCGATTCGCTTCTTCATTTATCATCCGTACAGCCAAGGAATGGAATAACCTGCCGGCGTCCGTCTTTCCGTCCGATTACAACGTTGGCGTCTTCAAGGCAAGAGTGAATAGGTTTTTACTGAGCGCGCTTACCATCAACGGCTGCATCGCCACTTACCATCAGGTGGGATGGCAGTCAAGTGCAGGCCAGTTATAATTAAAAAAAAAAATATATGATATTTCCGAAATCTGATGTACCTAATACTCGCTCACTCGCTATACCAACACGAATCGCGATATCATACGCGTTTGCCACAATATCTGATTTTATACAGATTTCGAGCGACAAAGCGCGTGAGATACAAATATTACATTAGTTAGAGCAGTACGGCAACAATATCAGATTTTTAAACAGATTTTATGAATAAGTTAAGTAATATTGAATCTTAATAGCATACAAATAAGATTCGTTTCATTTAAATACTAAGCATGGTAGCAACGATATCTTTTAATTCTTTTATTTACTATTTAGCCTTGAGCCGTAGCGAGCGACAAAGCGCGAGAGATACAAATATTACACCAGTTACTGGGGTACGGCAAACAATGCACATTATCAGATTTTCAAACAGATTTTATGAATAAGTTAAGTAATTTTGAATCTTAATAGCATGGAAAAGGACTTTGTTTCATTTAAATACGAATCATGGTATTAACGATGTCTTTAATTTTTTTAGCCCTGAGCTGGAGTGCATTGGTACGGCACGTAATAATAAGGGATGCCAACTTAGGAATTTTCTTCCTAAGTTAAGGAAGAAACATATACAATTGAAATTTTTTAGGAGGTAAATTTTTTGGGAATATTTTTAAGAGTTAAATTTTATTCACATTTTTGAAAAAATATAAAAGTACACAAAACGAAAAAGAAAAAATAATTTAATAGTGCTGTGCTGCTTTGGTGGACGTCAGGCCAAGGCTAATGCTTCTTGTGTGTATATTTTAAATTCTTCCGCCCTTAATTGAATTATGTATTAGGTTTTAACGTTATAAAAAAAAACTTAAAAAAATTTAAACGTACGCTTGACCTTGTGGGACTCACTGGTCGTAACAAACCTTGACAAAATTAAACATTAATTAACATTTTTTTTATGAATTTTAGGTGGACACGTACTATGTATAAAATACATAGTTTCGAAATCTGATATTAGAAATACGGATATCTGATTCAGATACGGTTCTCAGAAAAAGCGATACGACCCATCTATAGCCATAGCTATCTAACGATGGTCCAGGAAAATGTGTAATAGTATCCAAAGGTTAAGATTGTAAAGATTCTCTTCTTGGCTGACACTAACTAAGCTCGCTCAGTTTCCACAAATGTTATTAGTGATTGGTGCACACCTGCAAAATAAAATTAAAAAATTATTTATATATTTTATAATATTATTTCCGATACCATAGACACTAGTATATAGATGGATTTAAATTAATTAAGGCTTTGATTAATACTATTATTTACTTATTTCCATTTATTCATTATTTCATAAAATTATTTACTCTGTGAAGAATTCGGGTGCCACTGCCAATAATCTGTGGAATTGGAATACTCTTTGGTGTGTGGCCTGTGAATCGTTTGTGTTGAATTTTAATATTACAATATATTTTCATTAAATCAAATCATATAAGTTGTCTAAACTATAATGGAAGTTACCGATGAAAACTTAGCTACCTTAGCAAACTATTTGCAACAAACTTTAAATCCCGATCCCAACGTCAGACGACCCGGTAAGTCGTATCAACGTAGTTATCATCTGTATTTTTTTGTGATTTTGTAGACTTTTTAGATGTTTTAGAGTTTACATATGTACTTATTCCTCATTGAATTTTAAAATTGAATTTAATCCAGGTAATAGAAGTTCATTGAACTGTCATATTATTGTTTTAACAATTATAACCTAATTGTCACCACCAACTGCCATAGAAGAAAAGAAAAACCTAATTGTCATCAGTTATAACTTATTTACAAAAATATCTAAATATTATTATTAACACAGAATCACAGCATTCACGGTAATTTTACTTAAAAACTAATAATAGTAATGTACTTCACGATGAATTTAATGAAGGAATCTTTTCATAATGACATTTTTAGTCCATTTCATATCTTTATGAGGATTGTAATTCCTCACACATACAATGGTTTTCCTCCAAATTTAATTTATATGAACTAAAAATTGGCAGTAAAATTGTTATTTTTTTGCTTGTAATTACTGCCAACATAAATAAAATTAAGTTTGATATTTTATTTCCAACTCTAGAAATATATTTATAATGCTTGTTTACTTCAGCTTATTCTACTTATTTTTATATACCAACTGGGTAACTTTAAAATGAATTATGTATGTAAAGTAATTGTGGACATCTTTAGTGAAAAGAACACAATTTAAATATTTGTTTCCTTACCTAATTATAGTCTTGTGATTTTTGTACTGCTACATTTAATATTTAATATGTGTACCAACAGATAATTGTGACATTTATTGATTATTGTTTCAATAAGAAATATTTCGAGTCTAAAATCTTTGGCGTTGATGGATCCTATCTTGCATCTTCCGTGTAATATATGCCTGTTCTTTGTCCCCAGTTTATTTTCAGTTCAATAGCTCAATCACACTTAGATTGTTACCACTGATGTAATAAGGATACAAAAAATATGGAGTGTATGTATATGTACAATGTGGCTATAGCTACAATAAATTAACACACACATTGAGGTTTACTTTAAAAAATTTTTGACATGCTATTGTTTTTAAAAATTAACATTTACCGAGTTATTAATATTTTTTAAACAAATAATTATAGGACACCTTGTAAGTATAAAACTGTACTGTGAATTTCATTCTAAAGGTCACAGCTATATGAATGGGTGAATGAATTTAAAAGAAAAGAGAGAAACAATCACATTGTAAGGTTTGTAGGTACTATGCGACTGCGACATTTTCGTTTTGAGTTGATAACACAAACATTATGAATGAATCAGTCAGTTGTAGTTTTATAGGGGATGTTACAAATTTTGTTTCTTTTTTATTACATTTTTACACATGTATGTTTGAAAATTATTTTATTTAATTATGGTTTTTTTTTTACTTTTATATTATTGGCAGGTACTTAGAAGTGTGTTCATTTAATGTCTCAGTTGTAACACCACACTGAGTATACAGCGTGTCGTTACCACCACGACAATAAATGAACACACACATAGAGGATAACTTTTTAAAATTGTATTAAACATTTACATTCTTTAAACATCAATATTTACCGAGTTATTAAATTTTCCAAAACAAACAATTTTAGAACACCCTTACGTATAAAACTGTAACGTAAAGTTCATTTGTAAAGGTCACAAAGCATATGAATGGGTTGAATGAATTTAAAAGAGACAAAACATACTGTTAGAAGGAGAGGCTTGTAATGCGACGCCGTGGCGCGAGTTGTATAGGATGTTACAATTTTTTTTCTTTTTTACTTAATTAGTTTGTTTGAAAAATATTTTTCTTTAACTGTGGAGTTTGTTTAACGTCAATATTTTTTTATGATTATTGGCAAGTAGCGTTAGACGTGTGTTCATTTATTGTCGCGATGGTAACGACACGCTGTATATTGGTGCAGGACGACTCTCCACTAGATGGAGTGGCGACTGGTGCAAATGTGTGGATGCAAGTGGATGCATCGATGGATGTACGCGGCTCAGGATCGTACCTCGTGGCATTCTATGGGGCAGTGGACTCAAACAGGTTGAAATGATGATGTCGATTTATGATTTCCACATTTTTGTTGCAGCTGAAAAATTTCTGGAAGGCGTTGAAGTTAACCAAAATTACGCTATTCTATTGCTTCACCTAATTGATAAGGACACAGTGGATTTGACCATCAGGATAGCGGGAGCAGTTGCCTTCAAAAACTACATTAAAAGAAATTGGGCTGTGGTATGGATTTATTATATTTTTAACTTAAAAGTTGTACTTCAAAGCTGGATGCCCACATCTGTTGTTGTTTGACCCAGTAAACCCATATTGCTTGCTATGCAATAATAAAATATTATGTGAAATAAAACACATTTGATTCAAAATAGTTTTAAAAAAAATTTACTACTAGTTGGCAGTACTGTAGTACTTTTAGACTAAAATTGTTGGGGTCAAAAGGATTACCAGAATTAAACACTGAAATGATCTCATTATGTTTCATAAGGTCGGAAAATTTGCAATGTTGAATATAAATATTAAAAATAGTTGTTAATTAGTAAATTGAGAATTCATCAATATTAGACCTGATCAGCTTGGTCAGGTCTAATATTGATGTCCAGGTAGACAGAAACCCCATTAATCTGCTGTTCTTGTAATATTTAGAGGTTTGAATATTGTAACAACACCACTCTTGTTATTGTTAACTATTGCAATTTAGTTGCTGTGAATGATATAAAGATGTGATGATCTGTTTAGAAATTGTCAGTTTTACTTTCTTTTGCAGATCTTGGTACTATTGCATGTCTCTGTTTTTTGTATGTAATAGTATACATTGTATTGAGGTAACTAACAGTTCCACAATCCTACTAAAATTTCACTGTAAACTTTATTCAAATTTTAAAGGCACCAACTCATTTCTGACTCCTCCAGTATGTGTATGGGCGGCAGTGAACACTTTGTGACAGGTTGCCTGCCTGCTTGTTTGGCTTCTTTTCAATACAAATATAATAATAATAATCAAGTGTATGATAATAATTTATTGAAAGTAAAATAAATTACTTAGGAAGAAGATGGTGTTGACAACATCCATGCAAATGACCGCGGTGCTATAAAAACTCTCATAGTAACATTAATGCTGAAGTCACCAGAGCCAGTGCAGCGACAGTTCAGTGATGCCGTATCTATAATTGGAAAATATGATTTCCCAGAAAAATGGCCGGGCCTCATAGCTGAAATGGTAGAGAAGTTTGGTACAGGTTAGAATTTCAGTTGAAGTTTAAGTAACTTTTGTAAACAAAATGTTGGTGCTCCTTTAATTACTTCTACTCATTTTCTTATAGTGGGCTGAAGTATATACCATACTTATCCTGAATTTGCACACAACATTTTAGAGATATTGTCATATTATGTTAATATGAAATAATCAGTGCATATGAAATTTTCTTTTTCTTATCCATTACAGGAGATTTCCATGTAATTAATGGGGTGCTCAGAACTGCCCATTCGCTTTTTAAGCGGTATAGATTTGAATTTAAATCACAGAAGTTGTGGGAGGAGATCAAGCATGTCCTCGATAACTTTGCAAAACCATTGACAGATTTGTTTGTGGTATGTGTAAAACGTTTTGAATAATGATCTATTTGTAAGATTTGGTGATAGTCAATTTGCATACCCATCTATACACAAAAAAAATGTATTCTTTTTATTGATTATTTTATTTTTGATATATTATAGAGTTATTTAACACACTACAATAACAGATAAATTTAACTTTTTAAATTTAAATTTAACTTTAACATTTTAACGAATTTGAATTCGAAAATACTGGCTTAGAATTTTATGTAAGCCATCATAGAAATTTTTTCGAAGTTTAGTTTGTTCGATTTATTGACATATTCTATTTTTTTATTTATAGGATTGATCTATAGGATTCTATTTTAGAATGTTACAGTAATTTAACTAACAAACATTAGTTATGATATAGTATCTAAAATTATAAAGATGTTCTGTTTCTGATATAATTAGGTTTTCAAATTAAACAATTATTTTTTCTAGGCAACCATTGACCTTACTACCAAACATGCAGACAATCAACAAGCATTAAATGTAATTTATGGTTCACTTGTATTAATTTGCAAAGTCTTCTACTCCCTCAATTATCAAGATCTGCCAGAATTCTTTGAAGAAAATATGCATATATGGATGCCGAACTTACTCAACCTACTACAAGTGAAGGTGCCACTCTTAGAAGCTGATGTGAGTAAATAGATGCAGTAGTAGTATCTTCTGTTATATGTACATTAATTTACACTTACATGTTATTATTTGCATTTATTCTTTAAATAATTAGATTCAACATACATTTAAGGAGCAATTGATTTTAAGGACCAAAACAAAATTATTATACATTTTAATTGATAATCTTTTAAAGTTTCGAAATATTTATGATTACACATTTGCAGGGCTAGTCTGTGCACTCAATATATAACTTAAAAAGATAATTTCTTGTAGAAAAATAAGCAGTTCAGCAGGAATTGCACCTATTTGGCTGTGGGGTCACTTAGCTTAGTTCATTAAAGCGTCTAGGCGAAATTTCCGGAAGTGGCAAGCTCGACCCACGCATTGGAACTTTTTCGGCAATTTTCCTACAAACAAACCATATTTTAACTTTAGAATCATCAGTTTAATAAAAAATGTGCACACAATTTCTATTATTTAAACAATTTATTGGACTGCATCACATTTCATTTTCCTATTTTTAACTCGCAGAATCATAAAGAATGAAGTTTACAATTTCTTGCTGTTAACTGAAACAGTAGAATGTTTTATTTTAAGGGTGACGAAGACAAACCTGGAGTAATGGAGCAACTACGTACAGAAGTGTGCGAGTGTGCTGCCCTATACGCGTTAAAATATGAAGAGGAATTTGGCCCCCATGCACCCTCTTTCGTCACAGCAGTGTGGACAGTATTGCTGGCTACTGGCCCCCAGGCCAAATATGATGCTGTAAGTAAAACTTTATTTAGAATCAGAAAACTCTTAACTGAATTTTTGGTGGTACGCTTTACGAAATCTTACAATTTTCCTAGACGATTATTTATTTATTAAGCACTTTACAGTGGAAACTAAAGTTCTAAGTGGTAATCTGCCTTTATATAGATCTTGTAGTAGTCCTTTTAATTTTTTTTATAAAGGACATATTTCATTTGGAGAATTTTTCATTGGATGTGGAGAATCATTAACATATAAAGTAATGTCCACTTAAAAATGAATGAATTAAAGGTGATTTGAAATATCTCAACAATTTTCTGAAATTTATTCATTTCGTTTATTACTTTGTTTCAACTGTGTTGAGAGTTAATTTGGAAGTTTAAGCAGATACCTCATTTCTAAATTTTATAATGCACATTATTCCTTATAAAAGTTTTAGAATTACCAGTGATAGTAATACTTTGTCTCTTTTTTCCAACAGTTGGTGTCAAATGCACTGACATTCCTAGCTAAGGTGGCAGAGAAGAGAAGCTATAAAAATTTGTTTGAAGATCCAGGAACGCTGAGCAGCATCTGTGAGAAAGTCGTCATACCAAATATGGAGTTCCGAGGTATTGTTTCCATGTACTCACGCGAATGTTACACATTTCATGTTCATTGCCAAAGTACATATTCTTTTTGATTTTGAAATTCAAATTCAAATATTGTTATTCAATATAGTAGCTTTACACTTTCTTATTGGTTGTCAAAACGTTACCACCGGTTCGGAAATACAAGGCCACTACCTGAGAAGAACTAGCGAAGGAAACTCAGTGGGACATCTTTTTACCATTATTTGACAAGAAACATGTTAATTATTATCTATTGGTAGGCCTGAATCTCAGTCGTAATTGTTTTTACTCTTAAGTGATAAGGGTTGTCTACAAATTCCCTAGAAATGATATACATATATGGCAAAACAATGTTTGCCGGGTCGGCTATTAAAGTTATAATATTGAACATCGTAGAGTCTGACATGGAGCTGTTCGAAGACAACCCAGAGGAGTATGTGCGGAGAGACATGGAGGGCTCCGACGTGGACACGAGACGGCGCGCCGCCTGCGATCTGGTGCGCACCCTAGCGCAGCACTACGAGGAGAAGATGATGCACATCTTCGGCCAGTACGTCCAGGTACTCATTAATTTTGACAATAATATTATTTAACTTCTTATAGTGCTAATCTCTGCACTTAGATGAAACAAACAAACAATCTGTAGAAAACTGGTCGAGTTAAGAATATTAAAAGATCCGCGGGAATCGAACCCAGACTCCTTAACTACTAAGCTTAACGCTTATAAGGCTATAAAAAGCCAAGCTCGGTCCAAACGCACCTAATAACCGAACCCGACCTGTCCGCGACTGTAACGTAGAAGATGGTCACCGATGGGGGCATAAACTCCACAATCCTGTCACACCGTGAGAGTGAGTTCGGGTATAGAGACCCTACGTGTAGCGATCGGCCATCCCGATTGATCAGGCTGTATCTCGGCTGGCAGAAGGCCAACCGGTGGTGACTCCTCCTGAAAACGGAAAGAAGTCGGTGTTAGTCGGGCAGAAATGTTAATAGAAAAACTATACTACGTAGGAAGGGACGGAGAGGACTCTACGTACGGGGTCTAGGATAGGGAAGAGGTGTGGGACCTAACTACATGGGTTAGGATCGAGTGGTAGCGGGGGGTATCTTTATAACATCCCCCCCCCCCCCCCCCCCCCCCCCCGTTAACTCTGCCGCCGCGTCCGCAGCTGATGCTGGCGAAGTACGGGGAGTGCGGGCCGGCGGCGTGGCGCGGCAAGGACGCGGCGCTGTTCCTCGTGACGTCACTGGCGGCGCGCGGCGGCACCCAGGCGGCGGGCGTGACGCGCGCCTCGCCGCTAGTCGACCTCGCGACCTTCGCGGCGGCGCACGTGCTGCCCGAGCTGCGGCGGGCGCCCGGTGCGTCGCGCCATCTTGATTCTTTTCTTTTTATATTCTCTATAGCACACAATTACGTAAGGGTTGTACAATGGGCGGCCTTATTACTTAAAGCAATTTCTTCCAGGCAACCTTTGGATAAAAAAAAGCGAAGACAACTTCATGGTGTTGCCATGGCAACGCTTTTCTTTTTTTTATAGGTTGCAGACCAGTCTTTTTGCACAAACAAAAAATTGGTAAAATTTATAGTTATTTTTATTGTGTTACGCTGAGGAAGTGTAACATCTGATTTGCGTACATAAGTACACAGAATGTTTTTTTTTTATTAAGAGGATGTAATGCGAACTGGTGGTGCACCTATTGTGAAGTAATAACCGCGTTCATGGATTGCAACGCCCGTAGATTTGCAGATGCGTTGCTACCTTATAAATACGCGAGCTCCGTTACCCTCGCTTGTCTTGCGAAACGCAAAAGTATAACACTTCAACTTCACGAGGTTCAGGCCGTGGTAGTTCCTCGGACGGACCTGCACATTCGTGCAACAGTGAAAATACGTGGCCCTACCACGGTTACACTTAATTCGGTGACTTTTTTTATGTGAAAAGTAGCCAAACGAGCAGACGGTTCACCTGATGTTAAGTGAATACCGCCGCCCATGGACATCTGCTAAGTACACCCGAGGCTTTGCAGATGCGTTGACAACCTTTTTGGAAATTGGGCTCCGGCTGCCTCACTCACCAGAGGAAACGCGAAAGTATTATACTTCCACTTGACGCCGGTCTTCTGTGAGGCCGTGGTAATTACCCGGACGAGCCTGCCCATTCATGCAACAGCCGAGGCTGCTGCCTGGCTCTACCACCGTAAAATCTGATTGCGATTGCAGTTATGGTGATGACTGCTTTTATGATACCTGATGTTGTAATAGTGGCCTTAGTCGACGTCGTCATAAACGAATATGACAAGGTCACGAGACCTTCAATGCCATCTTATTGCATATGCAGTTATCATGATGTTTGCCGTAATGAATCATCGCAATCATCCTGGTTATCGATATAGTCGTCACCGTAATCGTAGTTGCGTTCATCATCATCATCTTCATTAGTTAATTTACAGTTGTCACTGTCATCACGTCATCGTTATATTCATCACTGTGATTTGAGTGTTAGTTAGTTTGTTTTTTTTTAACATCATTGAATATCTAAAGCCTGACTGCAGCCATAGCTATTTCAAATTATCATCCGTCACTTTTCGTTAGCTTTAACTATTCTGTTTGTATGTATGTATGTATGTGTGAATGACTTATGAATGAAATTGAATCAATATAATTGTCATTGCTTTTCATACACTCAAATAATATGACGCGGTTTTTTATTATTTATCTACGTCTGTAAAATGTCTCATTAATTCTTTGCAAATTCCCCAGTGACCGAGTTGCCCGTGTTGAAGGCCGACGCGATCAAGTACATCATGACGTTCCGATCGTTGCTGCCGAAGGAGGTCGTCACCACTGCTCTACCACTGCTGGTAATGACAGTAGCTAATTAGTTTTCGAAGTGTACTTCTGGTATTCATTTGGCATGTGAGGTAACCGGCGCTCACTCTATCAAAAGTTGGCAATGCGTCCGCAACCCTTCTGATGTTTGCATCACGTCACGTCATCGCTTAACATCAGGCGAACCGTCGGCTCGCGCGCCAACTTTTTTTTCATGGGAAAAACTGGTAAACGAGCAGGAGGCTCACCTGAAGTGTTCACCGCCGCCCATGGACACCTGCAACACAAGAGGGCTTCCAAATGCGTTGCCGGCCTTTTAGGAAAGTGTATGCTCTCCCTGGATGGCTCCCAGGTCGTAGTGCTCCGGAAAGACCGGCGGTAGCTGGTCCCACAGAGCTGTTATGCGAGGCAGGAAATCGCGCTGTTGTCGAACGCTGTACATCGAGGTGGTGTGGATGAAATTCCTACGTCTGCGTCGTCTCAACAGATCGATCGATCGGGTTTCTTACGTCTGCCCCAACAGATCGAGCACATCTGCGGGCGCGGTGTGGTGTGCACGTACGCCGCTTGCACCGTGGAGAAGCTGGTGGCCGGCGGGATGGTGGACAAGCGGCTGCTGGAGCCGCAGGCGCCCAAACTGCTCGCGGCGCTGTTCGCCACCATCGGCGACGACGCGGACCCGGCCGACCACAACGAGTACGTCATGAAGGGTGAGCGTCACCTTCGTGGTCGGGGTCTCTCCGAAGTGAGACTTCTCTAGGCGTTAACCGAGTACGTCGTGGAGGGCGAGTGTCGCGCCGTGGTCAGTCTTTCCGAAGTGAAACTTCTCTAGGCGCGAACGAGTTCGTCGTGTAGGGTGAGCGTCGCGCCGTGATCCGTCTTTTCGAAGTGATACTTCTCTAGCAAAACTGAACACATGATAAATCAGCGGTTAAAATTGCCAATTCCATTGGTGTAGACACCTGGGATCAAAAGGAAAAGCGATCGCCCGCACAATGAGCTATCACGGCTATCGAAGTGCGCTTATGACTCTTGATCTCCTTTGCAGCGATCCTGCGGACGATATCGTGCCTGCAGGAAGCCGCGCTGCCGTACTTGGGCGACGCCCTGCCGAAGCTGGCCCATATGCTGTCCGTCGTGGCGAAGAACCCCTGCAAGCCCCACTTCAACCACTATCTGTTCGAGACGCTCTCCCTGGCCGTGGCGTAAGAGTTTTTCTTTCTCGTTTTGTACCGGCTTCGAATATGATGGGAGCACTCCAGCTGTTGCACGGATAGGCAGGCGCGTGGTAGAGAACCAGCGTAATGTGGTAGTATTAAACCTTCGTGTTTCGTCCGGTGAGTGAGGTATCCGGGGCCGAAACGCTTAAATATTATTTAGATAATTTTGCTTTCAGTCCCGAGACTATAAAGCTTCATCTGACGCAGAACCGGTGGGCCAGCCAGAACCCACGGGTTTGGGGCTTAAAGGTTTTCAACGCATCTGAAAACCCTCGGGTGTTGTAGACGTCTTAAGGCGGCGGTATTGGCTTAACGTCGGGTGAACCGCCTGCTCGCTTGACAACTTTTCACATAATAATTAAAAAATTATTAGAGTTATTTACCAGTGGTTATTGCAGTGGTTATTGACCACAAAACATTTTTTGTTACAATATTCATATATCAAAAGAACCCAATTATTAATATTGTGCCAACCAATTGATGTTATTAATATTGTGCCTCATTGTATATATCTTTTTTTCTTTTAAGTTACTCATTTTTCGCTATTTAAAACGAAACAACTACAACCCAGTAATTTTTGTGTTTAATATTAAAATCTTTTTCCTCATTGCATATTTAATGAGCAGTTTTTTACAATCTTTTCAGATTAGTGACCAAATCTAACCCGAACGCAATATCCGCTTTCGAAGATGCCCTCTTCCCGATATTCCAAGAAATTCTCCAAAATGATGTTCAAGGTCAGCCAGGAAACGAAAAGTGTTTTTGTGCAAAATACAATTTTGATTCACTTAGTTTGTTTCCCATTTTACTTTTTATTTATTAGATATCCAATAGGATACATGACAATGACAGATACATTACAATGACAGGTTTGTACACGTTTTACAATTATGGCCCGTACCTATATTATTAAAAAATAAATTAAAATTACCATCAACGAGAAAAAAACTTTTCATAAGGTAAACTTATATTGATGGTTTAAAAATTTGTAACAGTAAAACCATACTGTATAATATAAGGAGAAAAGCAAACTAATGATGTTAGGGAGTTATGTTAGTGGCATTAGAATTATTTTGTTTGTGCAGCAATTTCGGTATCTTGCTTTTAATTGAGTAAGGAAAGTGCATTACTGTATATTTTCTAGTATGTGTTCGTGCCCTTTCATCCGCGAGAGACGTTTCTGCTTCGCTTCCATGGGTCGTAGCGTGATGTTAAATACCTTATAACCTCAAGATTTGGTTTATCAAATGCAAAGAGATTTTTTCAAATCCGACTGGTAGTTCCAGAGATTACTGCGTTCAAACAAACAAATGCACTCTTCAACTATATAATATTAACGGCCGGTTTCAACGTTCTATCTGCAGATAGATTGGCTCACCAGCGATATTCTATCATCAGTAACAACCAAACCTATCTGTAGATAGGATATAGAAACCGGCCTCAAAATTGAGTGTCGACTGCATCGCCGATTCACAAAGTCGTCCCCTCCCCGCAGAGTTCATGCCGTACGTGTTCCAAATGCTGTCGCTGCTGCTCGAGCTGCGGGGCGGCGGCGGCGGGGGCGGTGCGGGGGGCGGTGCGGGGGCGGGCGAGGGCGACGGCGACGCGTACGGCGCGCTGCTGCCGTGCCTGGTGGCGCCGCCGCTGTGGGAGCGGCCCGCGAACGTGCGCCCCCTGGTGCGGCTGCTGTGCGCCTTCGTGGCGGCGCGCGCGCCCCTCGTGCTGCGCTCCGGCAAGCTGGTACGGCGGGCCGCGATTGTTTTGCCGACCGCACGTTTCGGCCGGTGCGAGCCGGCTGTCGGTACGGGGGCCGTGACGCGAGACAGCGGCGATTGGACCGCGGTTGTTTTGCCGACCGTACGGCGGATTCGGCTAGTTCGCTCGCCGGGTGAAATTCAATAGTATAGATACAAATATTTTACAAAGGCTGATTTCTTTCTCTGTGGAGTTCAGGTTCAGTAACCTCAGCGGTTAAGTTCAGAAGCTACCATCTTCTGACACTTAAACTATACGGCACACCAGAAGTACTACTCGTATTTAAGCACGGGTGAAGCTGTATTCTATTCAGTAGCCAGAATGGACAAAATATGTTCAAAAATAATTAGTGTTGAAGAATATTTGTAAATTGAATTACAATTAAATTAAAGCATACCTTGCTCATTTCAGAATGCGATGCTGGGCGTATTCCAGAAGCTTATTGCGTCGAAGACTAACGATCACGAGGGCTTCTATCTTGTTCAGACAATGCTCTATAAGCTGGGAAAGTAAGTATTGTGTACACTCCAACATACAAAGTTTTCCATTCAATTGTTTTCAATTATACGGCAGTTCAGGCAAGTTCATTATTTGTCATGTAATTAAATTGTTTATGGTGCGTTGTGAGCAACAGTTGCATGTAACATGATTATTTGTTAGCCTTTATTTCACTCATATGTAAGTTTAAACCTTTTCTGCGCTATCGTTTATATGGTTATTCTCATAGTAAAATAGTTAAAGGGGATAAACAAAGCGAACCTACACCACGTATAAGTTTTTAGTCGATTGTAATATTGACCATAGCCGTGATAGTATTTTAAATTCAATATACTTGAGCAAACTGAGTTCGATCCCCGATGCCGGTACCGATGAAATCTTTAATTTTAAATGCTGACTTATCATGTGCTCCGCGGTGTAGAAAAACATCGTGAGGAAACCTGCATAATATCAATACCTGAAATAATAAAAAAATAATAATTCGAAGATATATGAAATCCCCCAATCCGCAGTGGGGGTGCATGGTGGACTATGCCCTGATACCCTGTACAGAGGAGGCCTTCGCCCAGCAGCGAGACATGTATAGGCTGTAAATTACCAAATTCACTTTAACATTGCCCCTACTCGACAGGCAGGTGATGGAGCAGTACGAGAAGCAGATCGTCACGCTGCTCTTCCAGCGGCTCTCCTCGTCGAAGACCACGAAATACGTGCGCGGCCTCATAGCGTTCCTCGGCTTCTACGCGGCGCACTTCGGGGCCGACCCGCTCATCGATCTAGTTGAGTCCGTTCAGCAGAAGTGAGTGTTGTCAGTTTTTTTTTATGTGTAGAGTCGCCAAGCGAGTTGACGGTTCACCTGATGTTAAGTGAATACCGCCGCCCATGGACATCTGCTACACACGTAGGGTACCTCACTCACCAGATTTATTATACTTCCACTATACGTCGGTCTTCTGTGAGGTCGCAACCGAGGTTGCTACGTGACGCGACCACAGTTACATTTTTTTCATAATATTTGTTAAACAGGTAATAAGATGAATTATTAAGCGATAATGGTAAGAAATAATAATTTTAATATTTTTCTATGATTATTCATTCCCCTGTTATTAACTAAATTAACAAAAGATATTAACAAAAGTTTGCTCGTAGAGAACTCTGTTTAGGGTTATGCTCGCCAACCAAAGACCAAACATTTTTTTTTTTAAATCCATCATCTGTAACCGATTTGTGTGTGTGTGTTTTTGTGTACGATAAGCGATTTTTAAGTTTACTGTAAATTATTTTTTGTGTATGATAAAGAATAAATAAAAAATGTACTGATCTCTCCCTGCAGCATGTTCGCTATGTACGTGGAGCGCGTGTTGATCCCCGACCTGCAGAGGGTCACCGGCACCCTGGAGCGGAAGGCGGCGGCCGTCGGCTGCGTCAAGCTGCTCTGCGAGTCTGCCCACTTCAGGCACGGCTCGCTCGCCTACTTGTGGCTGAACGTTCTGCAGGTGACCTACCCACATCCAATACTGACCCCTAGTAATTCCACCTAACAACGTTTCAAGTGTGGCAGAAATTCGCTTGCATCACGACAATTGGTTCGTACAGTGAAACATTACTCTGTGGTAGAGTCACGCAAGATTTTCATTATTTTCACGCGTTTAAAACTGTTTCAATTTAAAAATATCAGTGTCGGGTTTCGGAACTTTAATAAAAAACTTAAAGGGCTGTTTCTGTAGTAAAAGCTGGTGATCATCTAACACTTTCGACAGGTCTGAGCCGATCACCCAAGCATCTTTAAATAACCGCCCTCTATTAAATGGACTGCGATACCGTTTAATCGACGCACTCGTCTACTATTGCGCGTGCGATCGTCCGATTCTCGCTCATTGCGTCCGTAGTTATGGCATTTCCATCGATACAGAAACGTATTTCCATGGAGCGATGTCATCATCACTACATAGTATAAAACAAAGTCGTTCCGCTGTCTGTCTGTCCCTATGTATGCTTATTTCTTTAAAACTACGCAACGGATCTCGATGCGGTTTTTTTTTACTAGATAGAGTTATTCAGGAGGAAGGTTTATATGTATAATACATCGCACCCGTGCGAGGCCGGGGCGGGTCGCTAGTTTAAAATACAATGCCAACCGAACGATCTGAACACGGTACAGACGCTGATCTCGCTGTTCGAACTGCCGGCCGACGAGTCGTCGCTGCCGGAAGACCACTTCGTGGAGGTGGACGAGCCGGCGGGCTACCAGGCGCAGTACGCGCAGCTAACGTGCGCGCGCGGCGCCTCCAGTGACCCCTTCGCTGGTGCGATAATCACACTCACTTGCCTAGCCAAAAGTTTATAATGCTTTTATCTTACGACTTCCTCGTAGAGAGCATACTAATACTAACAATCCTAGACAAAAGTTTATAATGTTTATACTTTATGACTCTGTAACACAGTTGCGATGGTATTGGCTTCGGTGCCTTATTTTATTTTTTTATTTGAGAAGATGGCAAATGACCTGGTGGCTCAACTGAAGTTAACGAACACCAGTAGCGTTATAGATCGTTGCTTTTAGAAAGTTTGTACCAATTATCTCACTGACCATACAAAACGCAGAAGTTTTACATCTTTTAGAAAACTGGGCTCTGGTTACCTTACCAGAAGTACGAAGAAAGAATACTTCTAGGTTTCATCTGGTAAAAAGAAAGCTTGCATTTTTTTCTTTTCTGGTAAAAAAAATGTTTTGTTCGTTATGGACTACTACTGGTATTTTACTACGTTGATTATTTATGCATAAGTTTTACACTGCAGCCATCACGGACCCCAAACGCTACCTGGTGGAGAGTCTGGGCAACATGGCGCGCCACTGGCCCGACGTGATGCCCCAGAGGATCGCCGAGCTTGATCAGCCCCACCGCCAGGCCCTGCAGATGTACCTCCACACGTACAGCATACAGATTTGCTGATCCATAGGAAACTAAACAGCGAAGCGAGAGAGGACTCCGCGCTGTTCAATGTCCCTAAAATCTTGTACTCCTCACGAACTCAGCTTATAAACCTTTATGTCGGAACGCTTCCAAATCTCTCTTCATTGCTAAGTGATATTATTTAATGCTCCCATTATAAAAGTGCAACCAATCGTTTACGTCGCGACGGTTTCAGTGTGTGTATGAATTTGTCCATTTGCACTCGTAAATATTTCTTGCTTAAATGTTTCTAAGTTATAGTTCGTTTTCTTTAGTGGCATATTTGATATATATTGTTTGCTATTCGTCTGTGTACTGTTTTGTTCGTAGTTGTTATTGTTAAATATGGAACAAGTGTGGTACGGGATGGCTGCATAGCTTGGTTGTATGTTAGTGGCGGACGTTTTCTCGGTTGTAAGTTGAATCCTTTTGGAGGCGACTTTTGAGCCTTAAAATAACTGAATTTGTCAGATTTTAATTAAAAGTTAGTCAGCTCGTTTTTGTGATAGCTTTATAGGGTTGTCAATTAAATTCAAAACATTATCCAATATTAGCCTTAGTTTCAGAATTTATATTAAGCACATCTGTTTCTTCATTTTCAAAACCGTCATTATTCTCAATCATACAATCATACATGGGAACCATGCTTCTCTTTGGCTTTTATATTAAAACTTTCAAGTCTATGTAGAAAAATATGATACACATCAACGACTTTTCAGAGGCAATCAGAAAATGAGTCGTCCAAATTGTTATCGGTAATAAAGCATTTACAATGGAAAAGATTAGGCCTTTTGAATTTTAAGTATTAATTATAAAGAATGAGGCGTTGAACGCACTACTGCGGAAGAGAGAAATTCTGCCTTTCCGTTATCTATTATTGTCATTAATGTAACAATAACTAGTTTAGAGTGTGGAAGACATCGATGTAAGAATGTTATTTGTATGGGTTATGTTCGATGATTGCAAGTATATGAATGTTAGTAAATTTGTATGTAAGTAATGATGTTATGGTATATTTGTATGTATTAATAATTGTTAAAGACAGTTGGAACTAGTGGATAATAATATTCTGGGAGTGTTAACTGTCATTATTATATATTTTCTTAGTTCTATGTTATGAACCATTAAAAGACTCAACATGTACTTCTCTTTAATAATAGCGAAGACTACTATTATCAATCAACAATAAATTATTGTCTTTTTGTAAACTTTTAGATATAGAAAATACAACCATATGCAAGTTATTATAAAACTCAATGTAAGTTGTATGTAACGGAAATAGAATAATTGTATCACTCACATTTATATCATTATACATTAACTTAATGACAATTTATGTTTATGCTTAACCAACTTTCAATGTGTCTTTTCCCATAATCTGTAACAACAGTAGCTTCACTTAATACACTTTCTATTTGCTAATTTGTATAATGTGTAGTAAAATCATTAAAAATTTAATATGTAAGGTTGCTAAGATTAAATATAACTGATCATTTCATAAAGTTTTAAAAACTTGGACTGAAACTAGAGTAGTGTAATTGTGAAAAAATAATGGAATGCTGTATGTATGTGTTGTATTTAATATTGTGATATTAAAGTATGCAAAAAGATATTATTGTTTTAATGTTTCAGCTAGAATGTCAACTTATACAGACTTCCTCCGTTCTACTGTGATTACAAACATTAATAAAAACACCATTGACGTTTCAGTAATATATTTTTCAAAAAGCTGTTCGCTACAATATCATTTGCGAAACCAATCTAATGACGCAAAACATAAGATTATTGACTATCGAAAAAATCGTTACAATTTCATAAAATACTTTCATAGAGGGTAAAATTAGCGTTACTATGATGCAGATGCATGGGGAATGTTTTCTACTGCTATAGTTTTGATGAAAAATAAAACGATTCAGCCATACAAACTTCTGGATAAATGTTCAAAGAAAAAACAGATCAACAGCATATTTTAAGCATAACTAAATAAATATGTAAAAAAAATAATTATAACAAAAAAGAAGCAGTAAACAAACCCAATATCCAAAAATTAATATTAGTATATGAGAAAAAAAAAAGCAGTGAGTGAATAAAGTCACATCAAGACAAGATTAAAAAAAAAACATCAATCGCGACAGCTTTTGATACAATTTATGTGAGTTACATATGGATTACAAACATTTTTACTCTTCGAGTAGTCATTTCGGATGGTAACCTTTCTTTTCTCTTAGAGGCAATGTGAATATTAAATAGATATTTATTGCACATTCTAGAGCTTTACGATCTTGCGATCCCGATCCCTATCTGAAATGGATGAAAGCAAACCGCGTGCGACGGGTGGTGTGGTACAAATTTCAAATCCGCAATTAAGTATCTGTTCGATATCGGCGCGCGACAGTTTGCTTCCATCCATCCAGTGAGGGCTGCCGCGCGTTGGCGATGGACTTATTTAGGGCTGCGTGGTGTAAGCGGCGGCAGCCTCCGATTGCGGGATCACTTGAGGGCGCACTCCACGAAGACGGTGCGGGGCAGGGCGTCGGCGGGCGCGAGCGGCGAGGGGGGCGGCGTCTGCGGTTCCGCGAGCCGCTCGCCCTCCGCGAAGTGCGCCTCGGTGAGGGGCCACAGCTCCTTGAGCACCGCCCACAGTCGGCGGTCGACGACGGCGCGCACCTTCGGCACGGGGAAGCCGTTGAAGGTGGACGCCACGGGCAGCGTGTAGGCGCCCATGTCGCGGAACACCAGCCACGCGCCCAGCGGCTGCGGCGGCAGCCGGGTGCGCGGTACTACGCAGTCCAGCCCGTCGCACGTGGGGCCCCACACGGACGCGCTGCGCGGCGCTCCCTCCGTCTGCTAACGGCCGGATAACTTATAACTTCTATGAAGAATACATGGCGAATAACGCTTGAAGGTGTATGTTGTATCTGTGCGAGTTTATGAACACTTACGGTAATCAGACAATGATACTGGATAGGAAGGTATAATCTTGTGTACAAACTGCAATAGATGTTCTAGGTTGCAGTGTTCTGTGTTTGAGATTTCTCACTCAACCCCTTCTTTGCAAATCATATCAAAGTACAATCTTTAAATACTATATTTATCCTCTTTGATAGATTTGGTTGATTGCAGATAGAATTTTGACGAAAGTATTATGGAGCTAATGTACCAATAAATAAATAACCAATTCCATCAGTCGATAGAATATTAAAACAAGCCTTAAATGGACTCTAACTTCATGTGCTCCTCATGTAAAATAATTTATGGTGGTGTTTTTATCTCAAATCTAATCAATATAATATTTGCTCTGCTAAAGCTTAGTGCATAGTCACCTGCAGTGGAATGGGCACCACCACCTGATGATCATACAGCAGACAGTTGAACGATCCGTAGACGCCATCGTTGATGAAATACATGGTATGCAGTTCTTCGCCTTCCTCATCGTCCTTTGCAGGAATCTGTTTCCATAAATAAAATTGATGAGTGATTTTCTATATATCATTTAGAATTTAGATGAAAACTGTCATATTATTTGTATAAACATGAGTAAGTAGAATAATGAAATTATTGTAATAATTTGTTTATTTAAACATGAGTAAGTAGAATAATGAAATTATTGTAATAATTTGTTTACTACTAATTTGACTCGGATCGCGGCACTGCGAGGCCGTAGATTTGATTATATAATTCTTATTATAAATACACAAACATTTGTCTTGCCCATGACATGTATCCTACAACAGTACAACTACAGATCTACATGTAACAGCCTTATTGTAAATAAGATTTTTATTGGTACTTTATGTAAACTTTCAAGGTTAATATTCTTAAATAATTCATCTGTTTCTTGTGATGTCTCCGAAATTTTAACTTTAGTTTAGTTTTAGACATAGAGCTCATTACTTAATTAACTAGATAAGTTATGTTAAAATTATATAACAAGATTGTGCATGTACTGTTTCGTTATTATAATTTGCTCCATATTCGCATAAATATCTCTGAGCTTGAGTTGCCCATGATATAATCTCGAAAGTTGACATGTATGGTCGCGTATGGTAGCGAATTGGTGATGGGTTGTGAGGTGGTGATTGGTTGTTAGGAGATGGTCATCGGTGCTAGATAGTTGAAGCTCACCTCGCGCTTGGCATGCACCATTGCGGCCAGGGTGTAAGCGGCTGCGGCGAAATAGCGGCCCGGCTCGGCGATAACGCGCACCTCGCAGCCGGAGAAGTTGGCGTCCAACGCCGCGTTGATCACCTGCGCCACCTTGTGGCCGAATGAGACAGACGTCAGTTACTTTGATATTATCAACTAGTATTTTATCAACAACTACAACAAGCGCCGTTACGAGTACAAGGTGTACGAGTGACAGGTAATGGTTGCGTTCATCTAGAGACGCCTCGTTTTAAATGCAATTACGGTATCGGCCGCACTCAAAGTAAGAGCAAGAGTATAAAAAAACGGACATTAGTGTTAACGATTATAAAATGACGCCCATGAAAGCGGCGGTGTTACTTCTACTTCTTCCCCATAAGTTCGCGGGTCGTAGCTAGCGCATCACCCACCACCGAACACCATACGTCGGCATTGTAGTATAATCCAAGGCGATGGGCGGATTCGAATCTGGCGATCCGATTGGCGTAGTGTGTGGCCATAGTCTCGCCAGTGTGTCTCTCCCGATGGTCGCAGATGCGTTGCCATACTCATCACTCAACAGATGAAAAGCATAATGGACGTACGGATGTTACAAAAATGTCCTTATGGGCGGTGATTCTTTCTTTTTTTAAAAAAAAAAACACTACCCTTGCTTTAGGGTAAAATTATCCTGTGTTGAAAGGACGTTTCACAAACATAAATTCCACGTGGACAAACACCCAGATGCGAAACAATTGTCTGTGGATCACAGAAATAGTTGTCCCGTGTGGGAATCGAACCCATGACCCCGGAAGCCGAAGCCAACACTTTGGCAACTGCGCCGCGCAGTCACCAAACTCATAGCTTAACGTCAGGCGAACCGCTTGGCGACTCAGATAAAAAGAAAGTATTCACCTCGCGGATGCTGGAGCCCGAGTGTCCCGGGAATCCGCCGCCGAGGTCGAGCAGGCGCATCGAGTGTCCGGCCGCCGCGCCCAGGCTGAAGAGCGCGCGGCAGAACTGGATCGCGCGCGCGTACACGCCCGTCTCCTGCGCGCCCGAGCCCACGTGGAACGACACGCCCACCACCTAGGGTGCGATCATGTCATTAAATCTTTTCATCATTCATTTCAGTGAAGATTTCCCTCAAAACAGTATTTAGTGGTGTCGTCTTTACTATAAAAGTAAAGTATCAGCCTATACTTGTCCCACTGCTGGGCAAAGGCCTCCTCTGTACAGAGGATATCAGGGCATAGTTCACCACGCGGCCTCACTGCGGCTAGACGGACTTCACATATCTTCGAAATAGGTTTTTTTTGTTATTATTTCGAAATTATGTTGGTTACCTCTCGATGTTTTCCTTCACCGCGTAGCACGTGCTGAGTCGGCACTTAAATTAACAATTTCATTGGTGCTGTCGCTGGGGATCGAACTCAGGTTGCTCGAGTAAATTTAATTAAAGGCGAGCGCTTGACACTGAGCTATCACCACGGCTACTTAGCGTTGGGTAATATACAAAAGTGTTTTAGAGGTGACATGCTGTTTGTAATTTATGTGAAAGGGTCTAATAATATTCTAGGTCGCAGTGGTTGTTGGGTAAGTCCCGACCTAGAAGATCTATATAGTCTTAAGGGTGGAGGTGACACGTTACCCTGAGACCGAAGACCGCAGCCAGCTTGAGCAGCCTGGGAGCCTCGGTGATCGGGTCGCAGCCGAACTTGATGCCGAGCGGGCACAGGGCTGACTCGGCGTCGCATCTGATGCGGACCACCAACCTGCAATGAAAACAACATTAGTTAAGGCAACTTTTAGCACAGCCCTGCCACTTTCTTCTTTTGAAAAAGAGCAACTGTTAAGTTTCGAGCCGGTCTCTTCTCAAAAGAAACTGCTTTCCAAACCGTACCTTACGAACCTATGTACATAATTTTTGATGTAAAATTTGACGATTAATAAGAGCGCGCAAGCGTCTATTTGAATAAATATATTTTAGATTTTCATTAATGAATTTCTCTGCCCTAAGGCCGCCTGTTGTACCCATGTGTTTTTTTTTTTTTTAATTATAAATACTGTAATGTCTCTTGGTGTACAATAAAGTATACTTTACTTTACTTTAACTTTAACTTATAACATGGTAGGGAGGACGCGATTTTCATGTGACAGGGGTGACCAATGTTCAGGAACAGAAAATCTAAGTTGTATCTCAAAATATGACATGTGTCATTGTAAGCTTAGCGGTTGTTGAATAGTAATTTATTTATACATTGAGTTCATTATATGAAGTTAAAAGAGCATGTATTTTCTATTCAGAACTAATATTCCGGCAAACTCCAAACGTTTAAACCGTTTGGAGTTTGCTTGTTAAATTATTTTCCAATTCGATTCCGATTAAAAGAATTCTTAGCATTCTAGTCTTTTTGTAAAAAAAAAATGAGAGTATATTTTTATAAATTTTAAAACAATCGTCATCCTAAACTGTACTTATTTTATTCCTCTATGAATATTAAAAATAACAAAAAATAAACATTTGTGCTGTCCATCTGTTTAAGCATTTGTTCCCAATCGGATATTGGATTGGGCGGACTCACTGGGCGTGCGGCATGTACTGCTTGATCTTGACCAGCTCGGTCTCAGAGTCGAAGGTCATCAGGTCCACGCCCACGGTGGACGCGTGGCGGATGTGGGACGCCATCTTGGCCGGATTCGCGAATATTATGCGTCTGTATGGAGAGAGAAAACTTATTAAGGCCACACATATCACTATGGATAATTGGGGTCTTCGCTGTGTAGACGTTTAAGCGATAATAACTTGGAACGTTTTATTGAATTAAATATAAATCTGATCTAATATTGATGGCTATACAGAGATTTACACTGCTGCTTTCATTTGAGAGCGCATGTAGTCTCGAATAGAACACGCGTACTTTCTGCTCGGATGATAGTTTGGCCATAAAATAGGTCCGCAGAGATTTTTTTATATGTGAAAAGTTGCCAAGCCAGCAGGCGGTCCACCTGATGTTGAGTTAATACCGCCGCCCATGGACATCTGCTACACCCGAGGGTCGCAGATTTTTTTTAATGCAAAAAGTTGCCAAGTGAGCAGACGGTTCACCTGATGTTAAGTGAATACCGTCGCCCATGGACATCTGTTACACCCGAGGGTTGCAGATGCGTTGACAGCCTTTTGAAAATTGGGCTCCGGCCACCTCACTCACCAGACGAAACGTGAAAGTATTATACTTGCACTCTACGCCCACTACTACACACTACCCGGACGAGCCTGCCCATTCGTGTAACGGCCGAGGCTGCTGCGTGGCCCTACCACCGTAAGAGTAAGTAAGGTGCGTTGACAGCCTTTTGGAGATTGGGCTGTGTGTACCCATGGGCTCAGTAATCGCGGTGGTGACTCACTCGGGGCGCACTCCCAGACCGGTGACCAGTTCGATTTCGGCCTTGGACGCGCAGTCGAAGCCGGCGCCCAACGCCGCCAGCGTGCTCACCAGCAGCTTGTCGTCGTTGCACTTGACGGCTGTGGGAAACGAGAGTAAAAGTAGATTAACGGCCTATATCTGCTGAGCAGTCGCCACAGAGGGTGTTATGGCATATTACAATACGAAACACTAATCAATAATAAACAAATATATGTTATTATATAGTTAATACCGCCGCCCATGGACATCTGCTACACCCGAGGGTCGCAGATTTTTTTTAATGCAAAAAGTTGCCAAGTGAGCAGACGGTTCACCTGATGTTAAGTGAATACCGTCGCCCATGGACATCTGTTACACCCGAGGGTTGCAGATGCGTTGACAGCCTTTTGAAAATTGGGCTCCGGCCACCTCACTCACCAGACGAAACGTGAAAGTATTATACTTGCACTCTACGCCCACTACTACACACTACCCGGACGAGCCTGCCCATTCGTGTAACGGTCGAGGCTGCTGCGTGGCCCTACCACCGTAAGAGTAAGTAAGGTGCGTTGACAGCCTTTTGGAGATTGGGCTGTGTGTACCCATGGGCTCAGTAATCGCGGTGGTGACTCACTCGGGGCGCACTCCCAGACCGGTGACCAGTTCGATTTCGGCCTTGGACGCGCAGTCGAAGCCGGCGCCCAACGCCGCCAGCGTGCTCACCAGCAGCTTGTCGTCGTTGCACTTGACGGCTGTGGGAAACGAGAAAAGTCGATCACAACAACAATTACCGAGTAAAAGTAGATTAACGGCCTATATCTGCTGAGCAGTCGTAATCTGCACAGAGGGTGTTATGGCATATTACGTAATACGAAACACTAATCAATAATAAACAAATATATGTTATTATATATTGGAAATCTGTAATTTACGGAATATGTCGTGTGACATTTATTATCAAATTTCTTAATAATTGCGAGATGAAAGAAAAAGTTTTTCAAATGAGTAGACATATTTGGTATCAAGATTTCTTCTTTACTTTTCTACTAATGGTCGGGCCGACTTTTTAAAGGTCGTCAACGCATTTGCAATACCTCAGGTGCCGCATGGGCGGTGATTTTTTTTGATGATGATTTAAAGTGAATACCGTCGCCCATGGACATCTGCTACACCCGAGGGTTCCAGATGCGTTGACAGCCTTTTGAAAATTGGGCTCCGACCACCTCACTCACCAGACGAAACGCGAAAGTATTATACTTCCACTTTACGCCGGTCTTCTGCGAGGCCGTGGTCCTTACCCGGACGAGCCACCCCATTCGCGCAACAGCCGAGACTGCAGCGTGGCCCTACCACCGTAGAATGGTCACAGCAGATCAGGCTAACCGCCTGTCCGTTCGCCAACTCACCGTAGAACGGCTCGACGCGCGGGAGCAGCTCCTTCCAGTGGTGGTACCGGGCGACGACCTCGCCGAGGTCCATCAGGTAGAAGGGGTCCTCCTGTGTGCCCTCGGCCGCGATCTCCCTTATCACGCCCTCGGTGCTCCACGCGCCGTCCATCACGCGGATGGGCCGCTCGTCCTCTACGACCTTCATCACGCTGGCGATCTTGCGGCTCGGCGTCCTGGAGCTCGGCGCGGCTTCGCTTAGGTGCGATTGTGGGCTCTGCGCTGCGGCGTTAGGGGCGTTTGTCCCGTGGGGGCTGGTGCGTTTGGTGTCCGGTCGGCGGGGTGCGGACGGTGTCACGTGTCAGAGGCCGGTGGTGGGGGCCCACTAGCGCTAGTCCACAAGTGTCAGCTGCTGGGATGGTGAAGGTCAGTGTTAACATATGCACGTAAGTGGTTTGTTTGTGCGTGTATATGCGTGTGTAAGTGGCAACAATGGCCCGGGTGCATAAATGGCTCATATATGGGCGTAGTGGTAAAACGGAAAACCACTACCACCACCTTTCATAGAAAACCCCAAATGAAAGAGGTCACGGTCCTCCGGCTTGAGGCACCGACTAAGGAGGAGGAGGAGGAGGAGGTAAGTGTGTGTGTGTGTGTGTGTGTGTGTGTACTTTCAACCGTCTTCAAAAAAAAAGGATGATGTTGTTAATTCGGTTGTATGATTTGTATGATATGTCTCCCACCTCAGGTCCGTGTTATTTATGAACCGAGTTCAATTCAAATTCAAAATATCTTTATTCAAATAGACGCTTGCGCGTTCTTATGATCGTCGAAGTTTACATAAATTATTAATACATAAGTTCGTAAGTAAGTTACCACCAGTGGAATAGAGAAAAAGAATCTTTTACTTGTAAACATAAATAACAGTAGGTAACGGATAAGCGGGCGGTCTGCCCTATTGCCAGCGATTACGAAACTTAAATAGGATCGAACCATGCGAATAGTTTGCCCATTTATCATCTTGGGGCAGCTTTACAATGTGGGGTATTTAACGTCTTCGGATTTCTCCTTACAGACAATTCATCAACAGTGTGCGGTGGTGCGGGGTATTATGGTTATAGCTCAAAGTCTTGGGATTTCTCCATTCAGACAATTCATCAACAGTGTGGGTGTTGTGGTGTAGCGTGGCGATGGCCCTCGCGTGTCTCGCGTGGTGAGTGTGTGTGAGTGGTGTGAGTGGTGTGGGGTGTGGCGTAGAGATGGTGCTCACGTGTCGCTTGGTGAGTGTATGTGAGTGGTGTGGGGTGTGGTGTAGAGATGGCACTCGCGTGTCTCGCGTGGTGTGAGTGTGGGTGTGAGTGTTGTGGGGTGTGGCGTAGAGACGGCGCTCACGTGTCTCGCGGGGTGTGAGTGTGGGTGTGAGTGTTGTGGGGTGTGGCGTAGGGACGGCGCTCACGTGTCTCGCGGGGTGTGAGTGTGGGTGTGAGTGGTTTGGAGTGTGGCGTAGAGACGGCGCTCACGTGTCTCGCGTGGTGTGGCGTCAGCGGGCCCGCGCTCTCTGCCAGGGCGGGTCGACGTTGAGGGCGCGGCGCCAGCAGCGCGGCGGGCGGAGGCTCGGGGGCGCGGGTCGCCCGGCACAGCCAGACGCGCCGGACAAAGCCGGTGCTCCCTGACGAGCGAAGCACCATTCGTTACATACACGCATAGATACAAAACGACGTACACTATACTGCCTGTATCAAATCGCAGGCGTGTTTTACTAATTATTATTGTGAAACGCTATGGTTATAGATATGATCATATGAAACTCTGCGATAATTATTCAAATATACTGGTATTAACTTTCGGTGGAAAAAAAACCCGATGTTCACTTTAAAATGCCCGAAAGACGAGTTTTTTTAATGTTAAATGATAACCGCCGCCCATCATTTGCAACATCCATAGGGTTGCAGATGCGTTGCCGTCTTTTAATACAGTGAGCCCCGGCTACCTCACTCACCAGAAGATACATAAAAGTACAACACTGCCACTTCACGCCGGTCTTCTGTGAGATCGTGGTACTTCCCCGGTCGGACCTGCCCATGCGTGCAACAGCGAACCGTTGCGTGGCCCTACCACAGTGAAAACAGTGACTATCGACATAACTATTTGACTTTTAAAACATTAATTGTCCTTGTTACACGTAACTTGTTAGACGCAACGTCTTATTATTGTTTATTGCTTACTTTTTCGTGGTTTAGGACCGAATAAGATTTATTACGTCCAGACTTATGTATATTTCGCATCTCTTTAGATTTCAAAGATACGGCTTAAAACGATGGTGAACCTCGTAGCCATATCGACTACAAATGTCGGCGATTATTACAAGTAAAACGAAAAACGGACATCTCCAAAGATTTCTAATTGATTCGAGCGTTAGGGTTAACATTACTAGCGGGTTGTCCTATACATAAACCTGTCACCTTTTCTCAAAAGATTGCACTATCAAGCCTACAAAAATATGCGTAAATATACCATTGATGACGTATTTATCACTAACCGCATAATGAGATCTAGTGATGTCACATGTTTTAACCGTACCTCTCAACACGGAAATAATGCTGACAAAGGATAAGGGACGGCATTAGCAACTTTCATACAGTAATAAAATAAGTTAATGATGTCCGTTTTCATCAAGATATTTATCCCGAAATGCGACTATGATAGCAAATCGGAATAATCTGGAAGATCATAGAGTTCCATAATCTCTTGAAGACCTTGCTAAAATGTGCTTTTAGAACATTGTCAAACAATGGACAGATGAACACGGAATTTCATGAATTCGAAATCTAAGGATTTAGAATTCATTAAAATTCACTACATTGTCGATTTGAAATATTAAATAAATCAATTTCAAAATTATTGGAAATTTAGAGCGCGAAGGTAAAGATGGATGGACCGCTAGATGATTTGGATGCATTTGATTATCACGACCTATCATGCAGAAAGGCTGAAGTGAACGGTGTAGTTAACTAATATGAAACATATTTCAATATAAATAAGAAACCAGTAAAGATAATTATAACACGAGAGAATTTTGACATGATCATGACATAAGTTTCACTCTGCATCACAGAAAACTAAGAGATCGCTTTACTTTTTGGTTCTTAATATATCGAACAGTATTAGATATATTATAAACGTGAAGGTCTTTGTTAATAGCACCAAAACTTCTTATGTTTTTGTTAACAGCACCAAACGCGTCTACACTTTTCGATGGGCACAGCAAATAATGGTACAGCACTTTCCGGAAATATGATAGATTTATTACTTAAGACAAAAGTATCCAATACGTGCCCGTGTAGGACGATAATATTTCGATAACACGATAAACAGCATCCCATCGTGCTAGCTTATCTTTTGCTTTGAATCTAATCAGCAATACGTATCTTACGCAGCAGCCAGGAAACTTTAAGTTAATCAATGAAATTCGCTTGAGACCCAAATGGGCTCCCAATATAGGGACAATATAGGGACGTTCTTAAAACTATCAGAGGTCAGATTGCAAACGAATCAAACTAAAAATCACCGAGTAAACAATCAGCAACACTAATAAAAAAGATCACTAATATAGTTCAAACCCATCTTGATAGAATTCTGATTGATACAGATCTAAGCTCGTAAATATTGTCATAAAGGCATTTAAAATATAATAAGTCGATAAATTACAATACGCGCCCTTTCATTGTCTGTAACGAGTTTAAATAATGGCAGATATGAATTGGTTACTAGTGCGCACGGCTCGCCTATGTAGCGTGACACATTTCATGTCGTAACAAAGCACCATGTGATTACTGCTTACATTATTTATGGTGTCCATCTAGTAAATTATAGGTAATAGGCGAAGACAGCGGACGTCTAATCCACAAACTAAATATATAATAGGTACTTTAAGTAACTGATACGTCCTTGAACTCGGATGTCTTGAAATTAAAGATAACAGATTAAAAAACTGATTTCTTTCACCTTCAACTAAGTAAACGATAAGCTTCTGTTTAACCGTTTGGCTTATTATCGACCAAACGTTATTAAATACAGAATCGAGCATAGCGTTAGTTTTATTTATTCAGTTTTGTGGGTTATATAAACATTACCTTTGTGCTATCATAAAAACTTCGACAATCGTATCTGGCTTGGCTGTATAATGTTATTGAGAGAAATGATTCTTAATGTATATAATATAACAAGATACCCTTACGGTGGTAGGGCCACGCAGCAGCCTCGGCTGTTGCACGAATGGGCAGGCCCGTCCGGGTAAGTACCACGACCTCACAGAAGACCAGCGTAAAGTGGAAGTATGACAAATACTTTCGTGTTTCGTCTGGTAAGTGAGGTAGCCGGAGCCCAACTATCAAAAGGTTGTCAACGCATCTGTAACCCTCGGGTGAAGCAGATGTCCATGGGTGGCGGTATTCACTTACCATCAGGTGAACTGTCTGCTCGTTTGGCAACTTTTCACATAAAAAAAATAAAAAAAATAATATAACACCTTTAAAACAGGCAATTCTTGTATAATATATATGTATAATCTGATTTTAATTAAATTTAGCATGCAGAGAGTTTCGGGGACGATAAATCGATCTAGCTAGGTTTCATTTTTGGAAAACTTCGTTTTATCCGTGTTTTCCGACAACGAAAAACTGCTACAATGTCATTAGAATACGAAGGTAAATTTCGCCACCATCTACAGGATTATAACAGCTCAGGTGGGAGGGAAATCGGGCTATCCCGAAACCGCCGTACATCACATGTGTCGGCGTGAAGACGTCATTCGAACATTTTATTAGTATCATCGTTTTATTAATTTCATAAAATATTATAATAATCATTTTAAATTGTATTCTCTTTCAATCATTTTTGTTTATCTGATAAATAATTAGTTTTGCTTATAAAAATAATCACTTCAACGTTTCTTGTAATTAAAAAGTGAGCCGGAAGTTCTCTCACTTTTTAAATAATAAAGTTATTCTTATAACCTTCTTCCAAATAAATAATTATCAATGTAATGAAAACTTATGATTTAAATGACTAATTTTCACCAAGAGTAATCTTTTTAATAAATTATAAAATATATAACAAGTTTATTTTTAAAATTGTAAACATCCGCTTAACTAAATGTGTGGTTTCGAAAAACAATTAACATTGTTATAATTCTCATTATTTAAATAATAATTAATCGTGTAAAGAACATGCATATACATCGAGTCCGATTGTTTTGTAAAGTTTCTACAAAATCCACAACTTCCGTGAGATTAGGAGATAACGTCCAGAGGGCGCTAGTCGTCCTAATTCGTGGGTTTTGTAAGAACTAAGAAAAAGAAGGTTTGGCACTTTTCGCTCCAGCCTTGGACCGGTGTAGACACCTCAATTCTTAAGTTAAGTATTCTGTATTTCTGTTATAACGATTATTAGCCTTAATAAGTGTTGTGATTTTCCAGTGTTTAAAGTTGTGTAGATAAATGGTTACTTTCATGTTTTGTGAAACTAAATAAAATTGTTCGGTTGTTGTGGCTATTACTAATTTAAATTAATTATGAATTCCGATGAAATTAGTTGTGACGTCACTATTCTTAAAAATAACTTTTCGGTTCCCCCGCTTTCATATATGTATGAAATTTTCCGAAGGCGGCAATAGTCAGCAAGTTGTGACGCAACGTGGCGCCGGCGCGAGAGTCGACGAGAAGCAAGGTCAATGTTACTACGTTTGTGGAACTTGTTATTAACGTACTCTCGGCTATATTGGCAAACGTGACATTTGAATGATAAATTCTCATGCAGGCCACATATTTCATATTCAATATAAGCGAGCTTGAAAGTGGACGAGATGTATATTTATAATTATCCGTAAACGATACACATGTTAAAGTATTTTTCTTTAAACCAACAAAGCGTGAATTCGTTATGTTGCGATGAAATATATTGTAAGTCCGCGTCTTCGATTAATTAGCGAAAGTAATATGATACAAATAAACGAAAATATAATACCTTTAATAGCGTAATTCTCAAAGCTTTTAGGGACCCTTAAGCAACAACCCCGTGGTTGTTGCTAAACGGCGATCTCTTGGGGAAAATCGAAAGCGGTGCGCGATCTTGCCGAGCTGATCGGGTATTCTGGTCTCCTGGTACTCGTCGGGCTTTCGGGGGGGCGGACAGAGCGCGGTGGCGGAGCGACGGTCCACGACTGATGGACGGGACGAAGGAGGCGAGTATTTATGCGGCGCGCTATCAGGGATCGCGGGGCGCCGTTATCAATAGATGGAGCACGACTCGCTGATGTAATCGGGCCGATTGCGTGGAACACCCGTCGAGACTGCTCCGAACCGCTTATGTGACGTCACGGCTAGCTAACCACGATTCCGTCGCTCCCGACCAAAATTTGGGTCTAATCCAAACTAATGCGATACGACCATGCCATCCGATTTTCTATCAGTTTGTAGTTTTGGTTGCTAGTGATAGGTAATTGACATAGTTACATAATACTTATGTCAAAATTCTATCTCGAGTAACCAAATCTACACAGATTGATTTAAAGATTGTTGTTATTGTTTATTGATCTACAGTTTTTAAGTGACAATCACTCGGACACTAGCAATCACAGTCTTATTTAGCATTAGAGTCCTTTTAAATTGGAATCTTATTAAACATCTAACGCCCTGTTTCTGAAACTGTTCACCGTAGAAGTTAACTAATCAGTTGTCAAATGTCATTTGAGTTGCCAAAAGGACTATTAAACAATTCAGAGTTTAATAATAAAATCCATTTGACGGCTGATTTGTTGACTTCTCACATGATCAGTGTTTCAGAAACCCGTCGTGAGACTTAACAAATTAACGAATTTAGTATTAGCTGAGGATGCGGACTTCGTTATTTAGTAAACAATGCTCGTAAGCAAGTAATTTAGAAGGGTTTAAAGTATACGAAAGAGAAATCAGTTGTTTAAGAACAACAGTTCTGTCTATGTCATGTTTCTGACTATGTCTACACACCTAGAATGAAATCCGTGGAAAGAAACCGGCCGAGAACGAAGAATGGAAAGGGCCTATAATAATGTCGATGAATACACTGAGGAGAAGAATATATGGAAATGACTCTTGGTCTGCACTTACAAGTTCCCTGGCTACTGCTAATTTTATACCGAACAAACATTGTACATATCGGTTTAAAAAAAGATAACAAGATTGCAGTTTTTTGGCGGTTCTTCTCTGGCCAGGTCTAATTTAGTGAAGTTAGTTAGTTTCTTTTTTGACGTTCAATAAGTACTTGGAGCAAACCTGGTCTATTTATTATTTATTGTATTTTATGCGAAAGTTGTCAAACGAACAGACGGTTCACCTGATGTCAAGTGAATACCGCCGCCCATGGACATCTGCCACACCCGAGGGTTACAGATGCGTTGACAACCTTTTGAAAATTGGGCTCCATCTACCTCACTCACCAGACGAAACGCGAAAGTATTTGTCACACTTCCATTTTACGCTGGTCTATTGTGAGGTGGTGGTTCTTACCCGGGCTCATTCATGCAACAGAAGAGGCTGCTGCGTGGCCCTACCACAGTTAAATGCGAATGTCAATGCGGGCAGCGGTTATCACTTAACATGAGTGACCCGCCAGCTCGTTTGCAAAACGCAAAAATCCTATATTTATTGTATAAAGAAATTTTGAACAATGACAGAAACCGTCTTATTGATGCTATATCAGAACAATGTATGAAAATATTTTTGGAAATTTTAACTTGTAAAGGGAGGGGCGGGGCGAAAAGGAGGCAAACGGGCAGGCAGGCCATCTGATGGTAAGTGTTCACCTCTCCCCATGGACACTCAACGCCAGAGGAGACAAATACGTATGCTGGTCGGCACCGCATTTGTGACTCCTCTGGTGGATTAGGTATTCACTTAGTCACAAATAGAAATTGATTAGGAATTCACGCAGTTCTTAATCTCTTACTAATAAGAGCTGGAGTATCATGACCGCACACTTTATAATACGTTACATTCACGACATTTTGCGCTGTTTTTTAGCGCAATGATGATGGCTTATTTCGTGTCTGTATAAAAAATTCGAAAACGTTTAAGGACGTGTCCTGATATGTCTTGACGCGTGTTTAAACTACGGGCCTGGCACGCGCGACCCGTCAGACAAAGCTTACCTATCCTCCGGCATTGTAATCTTGATGATTTATTACCTAAAATAAACTATGAAAATCACATAGGTAAAGTGGAAGATTACTTTAATTATATCAGTATGATTAAATGATAACAGATAAAGGTAATAATTTCAAAGCTAACAATAAAAACGAGAACAGAATTCCTTAACGATTTTCGCAAACTATTGTTCCCAATGATTTGGCAGTACTTTAAAGGGTTCGTGAAAAAATCGTTTATTAATCGGTAAAAACGTTCATAAACAGTGTTTTCGGTCGTAATTTAACTGCGAAGTAAATTATAATTTTATGCGGTTCGGTTAATAAACGCGGAAATAAATAAAGTTCTTCATAATTATATCATGCTCGCCCTAAATATTGAATATGTATCGTAATATAAACTGCCTTTGCCATTTCATAAGGGAGGAGTTGGAAAGCTCAAATCATCACATCTACAATACCTGAGGTGTTGCAGATGCGTTGCCCAAAAGTGAGCACCGACCATGAACATTGCAACGTAGGGTTGCAGATTTGCTACATTACAACAAAGAAAAAACTGGGCTCCGGCTACCTCACTCGCCAGACGAAACGCGAAAGTATAATACTCCCACCTCGCGTCGTTTCTGTAAGGCCGTGGTACTTCCCCGGACGAGCCTGCCCATTCGTGCAACAATAGAAGTTGCTTCGTAGCCCCACCACAGACAAAACATATCGGAACCAATCGTTGCAGAACGCAATTCCGCAATTAAAATAATTCCGACCGTACCCACAATAGTCTTTTCTTCAACCCTGACAGTAACACGACGGGTATCGACGCGGAGCGCGTGCCAGACATCTAAAAACAAACAGACGGCACAGATTACGAGGTTCCAAGAAATGATAAACCAATAGTAAACATTACAATATAATGCCGAGAAACGTCTCAATGTTTCAAACTGTTTTTGAGGAGTTACGTCCCACAACTGATGGTTCGGACTCGACAGTGGCACGTGAGATAAATTCCTACGAGATGAGTTCGGCGAGATTGACTAGCGATTGAGTCCATTGCTCGAACTTAAATCATATGTTAATTTTTTTTTATTTATTTAATCCAGTAAAAAGGTACAATAACATAAATTATTCTCTGCCAAACTGTGATGCAGTTTGTCGGCAGCAGTTCTCGTGAATAGATAATAGAAAAATGTTTTTCAATTACATTTCGATGCTCTTTGTTAGATATGACTCGGTGGCGCAGCTTTTAAGCTATTGGCTTCGACGCCGTGGGTCGTGGATTCGAATCTCGCACGGGACCACCGCAGTTTGATAATGTCGACGTAAACGATGACAGAAGAGTCTTTAAGTCTAAGACTTATTATTAAAATCTGTGTGTGTATGTCTCGCTTTCGACCCAACTTAATGAAACAAATGTAATTACGATTAAGTGTTAATTGAAGTGTATAGTGGATAGGTTAGGCGTGTCGTTTTTTATAACAATAGAAAGCACATGTCAATTTTTAATACTATGGAATCGTAAAGTAACAGCCTATACATGTCCCACTGCTGGGCAAAGGCCTCTTCTATACAGGTATCAGGGCATAGTCCACCACGGGGCCCCACTGCGGATTAGTGGACTTCACATATCTTCGAATTCTTTTTTGTTATTATTTCGAAAATATGCAGGTTTCATCACGATGTTTTCCTTCACCGCGGAGCACGTGATAAATCAGCACTTAAAGTTAAAAACTTCATTGGTGCCGGCACCGGGGATCGAACTCAGGTTGCTCAAGTATATTGAATTAAAGGCGAGCGCCCGGACACTGAGCTGATTATCGCAACCCATGGACATCGATAAAGCCCGTGACATTCAAAGTTCAATTATCTTTATTGAGTATAAGACTTGTTTTATGCTCTTCATCATCATCATCATCATCATTTCAGCCTGTTTGAGTCCACTGCTGAACATAGGCCTCCCCCACAGACTGCCATGAAGCACGATCCTGAGCCACCTGCATCCATCGACTTCCCGCACATTTGCACAGTTCGTCACTCCATCTAGTGGGGGGTTGTCCTACACTGCGATGGCCAGTACGAGGCTGCCACTCGAGAACCTTTCTTCCCCACGAGGTTCTACGAGCTATATGGCCGGCCCATCGCCACTTCAGCTTGCTAATCCTCTGAGCTATGTCGGTTATCTTAGTTCTACTGCGGATGTCTTCGTTACGAACTCTATCACGCAGAGAAATACCGAAATACGAGAGAAATATGCTCTTATTTAACGTCAAAAACTACGACCGGTATACAAAATTAAACCTGTCCAGAGAATAACCGGCAAGAAACTCTGCTGTCTTGTTATCTTTTCGTTTTTAAACGGTGTATACAAAATTTGCCTAGATTCTGCAGACTTTCAAGTGCAGAGCAATAGTCATTTCCATACATCCTTGTCCTCAATGTGTTCTTCGACATTATAACAGACCCTTTCCATTAAGGTAGCTTTTATTAATTGCATTTACTTTAGGATAACATTATCCTTTGTTGTAAGAACACTTGTCCCGTGTGGGAATCGAACCCACGACCCCCGAGCCAAAGCCAATAGCCCAGCAACGTACCAATATACGTTATGACGTTCTAATATTCACCGAATGTTTAAATAGACTTATATTAAACCCGAACGATCACCGCAATGCCTACATTGCACTAATATACAAAAAATATAAATTCGACATTTCCCGTAATGCATATAATAGAATATAAAGATTCACTTTTTACAAACGTAACAGGGTAGACGGATAGGGCTAGTAATGATGTAAACTTATCTGAATAACAATAATCTGGTCAAGTGCGAGTCGAATTCGTACGCCGAGGGTCCCGTACCTACTCACTATACCGCTTGCTCCTGAGAAAATCGGTGGTGACACACGGACAGACAGAGGGACAAGAGGGAGATTTTATAAGGGTTCCTTTTCTTACCTTTCAAGGTACGGAACTCTTAAATGATGATACGGAAATAAAAATGATGAACCTGCGCAACGTGCTCAATCCGCGTATTATAAATTATAATCTGACCCCCGTAGGATTGTCATAATCATAGTGTGACCCGCAGACCCTGTTATAGGTCAGTCTATCATCATCTGACCCGTGTAGGATGGCTTTAATCTTAACAGCCCCTCTGTCCGACGACTGTTTGGCCCCGCTATCTGCTTACGCGGGGGGTGGGCAGAGGCGGCACGCGAATCGAGATAACAATTACGTAACTTACGCCCGGTTTCTGAAACGTTGATCATCGTAGAAGTTAACTAATCAGCTGTCAAATGGCTTCGAGTTGCCAAACGATGGTTAAACTCTTTGAATTGACATTCTGATCACTAGGAAGATCATTCTGACATTTGGAAATCCACTTGATTGCTGATTAGTTAACTTCCACGTTGATCAGTGTTTCAGAAAACGGGCGTTAGTGTATTATTAGTTCAAAACGATTACGTGAATGTCGAATAAAGACAAGTTTGTGAACGCTTTAGGTGTACGAGGGTTTGCATACAAACAAAACATGTTTGCCACCGTTAAAGCAGACATTAAACATCTCGATTCTAAACGTTGCTGTCTAATCTCTTTCGTATCTGTAATTCAGGGGTGGTGGATGCACGTTGCAAATCTTAGTTACGGTAATTACCATCTTTAAAGTTGCCACTACTGACAACTGTCCCAAGCTCTAGACTGGTAGCAATGAAAACGAACAAAGTGCTCGTTCGATTATTCTTTTATTTTAATTGGCTCTCCACTGTGGATCAGGAAAATGACCAAGCGAATCATTAAATATTACATATCATAAAAAGGCTTTATTTTAGGTCTATTTTTGAATAACGGCTTTAGTGAAGAAACACTTCCGTATTTCGCCTGGTGACTGAGGTCCAATCGGGGCCCAAATTTTACTTTTATAGGTTGGAAACGCTCCGGAGTTATAAATAACCATGGGTGGCGGTAATCGTATGAAAACAGGTGAACCGCTTGCCGCTCCCTTGCCAACATTTCACATTAAAAATCCTAGCTAAGCCACGAAATCGAACATTACAAGCGCAGGCCAGAATTTGTTAAACAATACTTTCAATCAGAATGTTTTAATCATATCAAACAATGTGATACGAAATGTACCGATAAGAGAATTTAACAGAGGAGCCTCTTGTTACCAAGCGGCGCTAGTGATAATTTAACACCGAAATAATGCCGTATCGCTTGTCACGCGAGCTTTGTAAATATATGCGAGAGAGCAAAAAAAAAAAGACACAACAAGCGATTATTTAAATTTGCCGACCGATAAAAAAGCGATCCGCGATGTTTGACTTACACCGAGCGGTGGGAAGAAGAAAACAAACATGGCCGTTACGTAAACAGTTGGCGTTCGTAAAACAATAGTCGATTTCCGTTAGCTCTAACATTTAAGGGTGGGTCCACCACGTGACGGGTGACGAGTCTTGTCGTCACACCATAGACATTGCGACAATGATTTAGTTTCGATAGTTTCGAAATCCGATAAACACGATTTACAGCCGTGTCACACGCCAACGTCATTACACTTAAAGGCATCATCATCAACCGCAAGACCTCCACTGTTGAACATAGGCCTCCCCCTTAGAATGCCACAACGCACGACACTTTGCCATTTGCATCCACCGGTTGCCCGCGACTCTTATGATGTCGTCGGTCCACCTAGAGGGAGGCCTTCCAACGCTACATCTTTCGGTTACAACGCTACATCTTTCGGTTCGTAGTCGCCTCTCGAGAAAGTTTACTGCCCCTCGGTCATCAGTTCTTCGAGCGATGTGGCCTACCCACTGCCACCACAACTTGCAGATCCAGAGAGCTATGTGACTCCGGTTCTTCTGCGAATTTCCTCGTTCCGGATTTTGTCTCTCTCCATAGCTCGTTGTGTGACTCTGAGCTTCTCCAAAAGACCAGCTTTTAGAGACCACGTTTCAGTGACATACGTCATCGCTGGCAACGATGTTGTATCGAAGGCAGCTCAAACCATCGTTAATACTACCAACAT